GGTATTATGCCTATAAGCCAAGAACACTAGTAGACATGTTGCAGGAGTTGCCCATTAGTCTACTCACATATTATGTACACCATTTACGTTTACGTTACGATACAAAAGATATCTCGAGTATATCATGAATTTTTGCTTTACCTAATGCTACTATGTGCAGGTAAAGCCACCGCCTTGAATTTCTGCATCATCCGCCCCATGATCCCTGAGATCTCTGCCACCATGTATATCGCGTAAAAAGGAACAATCGCAATTGGATGCACCGGGGATAGCAACAGAAAGAAATGTATGCTGCAGAATTGGAAAGTGCCGGAAGGTCACTATTCCATGTAACAAAGAAACGCAGAATTCACTGAAATGCGAGGTCATAGTTCATCCAGGAGTACCTTCGCGCATCGAAAACATTCGCATCCCGATAGCGTTTAGCAAACAAGAGGTGCAAGGAGGTACAGACGCGAAAAGGTAAAGAAACTTGGGGAGAAACGAGATACACAAGAAATGAAATCAAACCCAATAGAGAAGAAAATATGTATACAAAGGAGAAACAAGAAAGAACAAGGTATTAATAATACATACCCCATGCCGCTCTTGACTGATAATATGTCTCGGATGCAAAGGACAGGATCGGTGAGGAATTAAGCAAGCAGGCATGGCTGAATTATACCGGTATATGGGAAGAAGATGAAGTTTGAAAAGGGGTGGGACCGCGCAAATGTAGTCGGAACCCGAAATCAAAACCCAAGTAGAGTGCAAGACAACGGTAGAACGTCCGCGTCATCGAACGATAAGAATCGTGGGTCAAATCAGCATTGATCATATCAGTTATCACCATGTTTTGTGGTGTCGTGGTTGATTGGCGTCTCCTCAACTTGAGTTGGGAGCTTAACGCTATCAGCTTCATCATGTGTAGGTTCAGGAACGACAACCTGCACATCAGGCTGTTCGTGCATGTCATCAACGAGGTCTGTCTTCACGACGGGTGCGCTAGCATCCGTGGGAGAGACCGCCGCGCTGCTGGCTGTAGATTCTGACTCGGAGGGAGCAGACACAAACGGATCGTCAGCCACGGAACCCTCGTCATGGTTGTGCTCGTCAATCTCGCCTAAGTTCTTTGTTTCTATGGTGATATCCTCGGGGACGGTGGAGATGATTGACCGCTGGCAATCATCACGACCATCGGCAACCGGAGCCTCAACATTTTCAGTAGATGTAGGGATATTGCCTTGGAAGCCATTGGCGTGAGCAAACAAAGGGATAATTCCACCTCCGATGCGTGACCAGAACATTCTCTCTCTTAGCCGGATCGTTTCATCCCATGCATCCTTCTCCTCTTCGGTATCGCCAATGCGGACATGGCCGTCAAGGATGAGACGGAGGTATCCAGTGAACTCGCAGCTGGAACGGACTCTCTCTAAACACAGTACACACAGCGGATATCGCTGGGCGGTCTCGCTATCGGACGTCCGGAACCGATGGGTCCTCTCGTTGGTGGGACCGTTTCGGCGCTCGCCACACATTGAACAAGGAAACTCATATTTCTTTGCTGAAGGCGGCATGGGTTCGACCAGGAGAGTTCCATCGCAGATCCCGCTCAATACTGAGCGCCGCGTTAGCCATGAGATCCCGGGCGCAGCATCAAGCCGGAGGGTCGGTTCGATGTCTTCCGAAAGCACGCGCTTGTAGAAGCGGGTCTCCTTGAGAGGGATATGGGAAGTCACGGGCTGTGGGGAAGACACGCTTCCATTAGGAGAATGTGTTTGAGATTTGGCGGGAGATGACGACGCTGAACCAAACCCACTAGCCAAGCTCATGACGTTCAAGCCAGTGTAAGACCCACTTGTGGCCCGACTGGCAGGCTTGGAAGCTCGAGATGTAGTGAAGAGCTCCCGAAAATCCTCGTAAGCTTGAATATCGGTTCGACAGACCGGCTTGATCAGATGGGGGAAACTGGTGGACGGTCCTGGAGTGAGTTCTTCTAGAGTTGGGATCTCCTCTGGTATGTCGGGGATATCAGAATTCTTGCTGATGTGCAAAGGATGCCGCGGCATAGTTGGTGATGACGGAGCTGTCGAGATGATTGTGCGAGTCTCACTATCCTCCTTGGCGATGTTGGGTCCCTGCAAAACGGACTTTAACTCGGCCAATTGTTCTTGATGCGATGCAAGCAGTGCTTCGGTATCTTTGACTTGCGAGCGCAGCTGCTCGTTTTTCTTTTCTACGGCCTCACGCTCAAGCTTGGCCGCCGCGACCATCTGTTCAAAAGGTAATAAGTCAATTGATCGACTCGACTGTACAAACGTCGAGGGAGCTTACCTTGTTGGCCTCTTCAAAAAGCGCGGCAGTTAGTGTTTCTAATTCTTGTTCAATGCCCTTCTTCTCCTTTTCCACAAGGGCGCGCTGAGCCTTCTCTTCAGCCAAGGCAGCTTGTAAGCGCAACATCTCGTAGTCCACGTCGGACTTCTTGATCAAGACTTCCTGATCAATGTCTCGCTTGTACTTTTCGTTTTCCAACTCAAGGACTCGGATCTTGGCTTGTGCCTGCTCCAATTCCTGACGAGTGGCGACTAGGTTGTCATCAAGCGTCGTCTGATTGTTGATCGCCTGGACCAACTTGACGCTCAAGGCTGCAACCTCGTTGCTCAAATCTGGATGATGCGACTGAGTTGACTCTGGCGTCTCCGAGTCTTCCGAGTGGCTCGCAAGTCTGGGGTCTTTCAGAGTGCTAAAGCTGGTTTCCTGGAAATTGCCGACACTGGACGAGCGGACGCCCGGTGTCGGTTTCGCAGTGGCAGTTCCAGACAAATCATTGGTGGATCTGGCTTTCGTGACGGTCTTGTCGGGGGAGAGAGAGTTGTTCTCGGAGGAATTCGACCGTTTGTGGCTGGTGGGGCGTGGCAGCATCGTAGATGGGGATAGGAAGTTGTGGCGAGAGTAATAAGTATGGAAAGCAATAAAACTGCCACCAAGATTAGCAAGCAAACACAGCAGAGGCTAACTGCATCAGAGGTGCGTGGATATACATACTCGGCCATGGTGATCGTGAGATGTCGACACGGCAGATGCAGCAGAACAGGGTATCACAGCAGAAGGAGGCGCGTATCACAACCACGTATATAACAGACCGGCAACGCTTCGCATCTGCAAATCCTGGCAGAGACAAGGGCTGGTTGAGGGTATATGCATGAAAGGATTAAAGCAGGGGGGGAAGTAGTAACGTGACGTCCCCGCCAGCGCGCAGACTGGAGAGGAATCAGCCAGTCGGGGAACGAAGCATTGAGTCGCAGAAAAGGAGCGAAATGCAATTCGATAGAGAGCGGAAGCCGCTGAAAGAGGGGGGGATGAACGAGAGGCCGCGATAAGTAGGGAAGGATAGACCGGAAGGATGACGATTAACTGGAGGCGAGAGCCGGTTGAGGGAGATAAAGGAAGGGAGAGACGTCTTAGCGGGTAATCAGTGGACGTAACCCCTCTTTCGTCAAGGCAGATGATGGAATTTAGTGGGAAGATTAGTGTAAGCTAGTAAAATTAGTTGAAAGTAAATTATAGATAGAAAAAGGTGGTCAGCGACCGGGGGGAAGAACAAATGAGGAGAATAAGAAGAGGTCGACGACGACGACCAGAGAGTAGCAGAGACAAGAACAAGAAGAGCACGACTGCAGGCAAGGCCGGAGTTGGTACGGCAAGTGGATTCAGGTCGCAACAGGCAGGCAGTCAGTCAGTAACAGTAACAGAGTAACATTTCCACAGTACGCCTGACTCGGTATCGCCGCTCTGCTGCCGTATTTACGGTTCCGATACCGGGTCCACTCGGCAGAGAGCCAATCATCAACACGGAGGCAAACCACGGGCGCTTAGGGATTACCAAGTCAGGAAGGTCGATCGCCTCCCGGCGCGTCTCCGGTGGTGGACAATCACAAGGGCCGGCTTAAAGCTTGGGGCTGGCTGCCATTCCATCCTTTGGTTCATTCCTCGGTGTGGATGAAGGAAAAAGGCGGGGAAGTTTCTAAGCAACTACTACTACCACCAATACTACTATAACCAAGTTTGACTGACTGTCCGAGAGCAACGCCAATTGCTAGATTACGTATGGTATGGGTGGTTGTAATTATTTCCCCCATCACTCGCGCCACGTTCCCATCCGGCTTAATGGTTCCCACTAGGTACGATCTCGATACGGAACCCGATCTCGCAAGGGCCTCCGGAGACGGTGACTAGAGCCTCTTGGGAAATTTCAGAGCTCGTTCCAATTCATAAGCTTTCCCTACCTGCAAAAAACTCTTCACACGCTTTTCAATAGTTTGGGCGCAAAGATCCATTCGGTGCGGTTGGGTGCGACATTGGGGCGTTCTAATTTGGGGACAATCAGCCAATCTTTCGCCCAAAATCAGCCGGATCTTCGGCGGTGGATGGTTTCTTTTGGCTCAAAAAGGCAGCTCCTCCTTGGCACACCTGATGACGACACTTGCAGACAACTTAAGTTACTTAGACAACACTCAACTTACTTTCTCCTGAAGTTTATAGTCGGGTTTGTTGGCATTGCAGCCTCGGCCTGCAGATTTGACTCTGACCATGTCATCTGCCTGTTCATTGTAGATATTCAGGAATAACATTTGTGTTTGAACATACGTACTATGCATGCAATTGTGCTATGCTGTGTGTAATGAATTGGCCCAAGTGCCCAGCCACCCCAGTTCAAGACTAGTACTGGTCTGCGGACTAATGATTGCCGGATCGGGCCAGGATGCCCGACGGCCTCATGGCGCCCCACTCATGTGCCTGACGGCCTGAGGCTCTTAGGCATCCAAGCAAGTGGGGTTGGAAAGTTCTCCAAGAAGGAATGCATCGAATCATCCAGAGTCTAATCCTGGGATAATCTCCCCGCTTCGGCATCGGCCTGCAATTCAGTCTGTCCGAGTTCCATCCCGTCACTTTTTACCCCGCATCGCTTTCAGAATCCTCCTGGTTCCTCGAATCTTGCATACATAGCACAATCAGCAGCCATGGCCGACGCAGAGCTTGAAGAGGTCAGTATGGACCTTCCCACCTACGTTCAACTTTCCCAGTCTTCCATGGACATTCATGCTTGTTGAATCTCCTTCGGGTCCACACCTTCGACACTTTTCGTATCAAATGCTTAAATGTGGTATAGATCAGACGGGCCCGTCTTGCCCAGCTTCAGCAACAAGGTGGTGGCGCACGTGGTGGCCCTTCGGACGGCAACCAGGAGGAACAGAGAAGGTATGCTTCCCAGATGTTGTTTTTGCTTCTGCGCTTGTAAATCCTTACTGACTTGTCGCTCCACTTTAGGCAAGCTGAAGGTATGCGCAATCTCATAATCCATTAGAATAGGACATGCTAGAGGAATTGTCCTGCCTACATCGCCCTTTCTCGAACAATTTGCTTATTCTTTTTACAAATAGCCGACCGCCGCGCCACTATCCTGAACCAGATCCTCGAGCCCGAAGCCGCCGATCGTTTGGGTCGCATCCGCCTTGTTAAGGAATCCCGCGCTGCTGACGTCGAATCCCGTCTCATCATGCTCGCCCAGTCCGGTCAATTGCGCCAGAAGGTCACCGAGGACCAGCTCAAGCAGCTGCTGAACGCCATGGCCGAGAACCAGCGCAAGGATGAGGAGGAGCACAAAATTGTAATCAACCGACGCGGCGGCTGGGATGATGATGACGACCTGTTGGATCTGTGAGATGTGTTTTTAGCGAAGGGTGTTCGGTTTGTGCTGAATGCTTGCCATTTTCAATGATACCTCCAGCTCTCCGATTGCAGAGCAGCTTTGCGGCGCAGCTGTTCTGCCATGAAAAGTACAGTTTCTCCATCTCGATAGTCGAGCAGCAGCTCCTAATAATACTTGGCCAAGTAATCATTCAGGAAGTGGCCATTCCTCATCTTATAATACAGAGCCATAGTTCCCTCCAAGGAAATTGGAATAAAAGTATAATACACCCAACAATCACTGCCCCCTCTGCTCCATCAACTCCTTCTCCCTCTTCTTCTGCATCCGAATCATCCGCCTAATCTCCCTCATATCCGGCGGCCTCTCAATGCCCAGCTCCTCTCTTAACTCCCCGACATCCTTCTCCAACACCTTCTCCCAGTAAACATTAATCAACTCCTTACTCCGCAATCCACTCCTCAACGCCCACGGCAGGTAAATCGAAAACAACCGTTCCCGCTCCGCCGGCTTCAACCTCACCGATGCAAATAGACTCAAACCAGTCATAGGAATCAACGTATTCAGAAATTCAAACGCTTTGAGCGCCAGCTCTCCCTCCACAAAAATCGGCAGTCCCGTCACAGCATGGTAGAAGTCATGACACTCCCGGTACCGCTGCATGACATACGCGCATTCCTCGTCATCAATGTACTGCACATTGTCCCGGGTGTCTGGGGACACGCCTTCGCGGTCCAGCCAGGTAGCGTACGTCCGGCCGACAGTGTTCTCAGGGAGGGAGCGGAGGTACGGTAGTTTGAGGGTCTCGGAGGTGATGCGCGGTCGGTCGCGGAGAATTTGTCGGCCTGTTGGGTCTGAGAGCATGGCGTCACGGAGCCGGTAGATGAAGTAGGGTGTTGCGGTGGCTTCGCCGCAGGCGGCGATTAGGTCTGTTTTTAGCGATATATTAGTTACAACGTTATAACCTGAACCTGAGGGAAGTAAATGTACCAGCTCTTCGGGGATTGAGAAGAGCCCCCACGGCTGACCCCACGGCCAGAGCACCGCGCTCTACAAAGTTCAATGGCACATGGCCGGGATAGTTGGGCGGAGGACGGTTGAAGCCGGAGATCGGCCGTGAGTGGGAGCGGAGCGATAGCGGTGCTGCGCAGGAGAGGAAATTGTTTAGTTCGCGCGCGTGCTGGACGGCACTGCGCGTCCGGAGGACCGTCATCGTGTGTCGAGTGAAGGGTAACACGTCGCAATGGACATATTCCTTGGGCCGGATGGAAATAGGTGAAGGTGTGGTACGATGGAATGCTTTCGGAGCCGGATGACACTAGTGGAGGATGTGCGGTGCCGTAGAGCTGATAAAGATCGATAAGATAATCTTTTTCTTTATCGGCGGATTTTTGGCGCATCTGATCGTCTCTGCTTGGACTGCCATTGAGGGATACATAAGGCAGTGGTGTTTGCTGTATATACATATCTTTAGGGATAAACACGCAGGTTCATAAAGGGGGTCTTTGTTTGCTCTTAATCCCCCCCCCCCCCCCCCCCCCCCACACTCATCCACCTTTCATCCTTTGCTTCCCTCGACACCAACCACTTACCCCTCAATTCTCCGAACCGACTGTCAACATGAAACCCACCTGGTGGCCCGGCGAGCAGCACGAGCTCTTCACAGAATGGGCCAAAACACAAGGCATCGTTATCAATGGAGTCAGCCCAGCGCGATTCCCCGGCCGCGGTCTCGGTATGATAGCAACGCGAAAGATAGAAGTAAGATCCCCATCCTCCCCCACGCTTTACCCCTCAATCATCAATTACAGACTAACATCTGTATGATATAAACAGAAAGACTCCATCCTCGTCAAAGTCCCTCACTCCGCAATGCTCACGCCCTCCAAACTCCCATCCACATTCACCTCGCGCTTCCCTGCAGACACACCAACCCACACCCTCTACGCCGCATACCTCACCAACGCCAGTCCCTCCCACCTAAAACCATGGCGCAACACCTGGCCCACGATGGAGGACTTTACCTCAAGCATGCCGATTCTCTGGTCCTCAACTTCTCCTCTTACACCCAACAGCAAGACCAGCAAAATCCAGGACCTCCTCCCCCCCTCCATCTCCAACACCTGGAGCACCATAACCCCCGGCAAACGAAAACACAAGTCCGACACGCGGCATCAAAACCTCCTCAAAGCACAAGAAACCCGTCTCCGCAAAGCATGGGATATCGTTGTCCGGGTATTCCCCGAGACAGATAAAGAGCTGTTCACGTACCATTGGGTGATTGTGAACACGCGAAGCTTCTTTTATCTTCTGCCGGGGGCGGAGATGCCAGAGGATAGGAATGATGCGATGGCATTGGTGCCGTTTGCGGATTATTTTAACCATTCGGATGTAGCGGTACATACCTTCCCTTTCTATCTGTGTAGGTTGAGTTGTTGGCTAACATGAGATATTGTGGATGGATAGTGTAATGTCAAGTTCGATGGGGAAGAGTATGTCTTTCGTGCGGCGAAGGAGTATAGTACGTTTTCTACCTCTCTCTTACTATTTTCGGGAGATGAAGATAGCGATATACTTATCAATGATGTACAGACGAAGGCGAGGAAATCTACATGAGCTACGGGCCTCATTCGAACGATTTCCTGTTCACAGAGTGTAAGCCCCCATACCCTACAATACCACCGCATCTCTACCATAACCTCATACTAACCCATCTAGACGGCTTCTACCTCGACACCAACGCCTCCGAAACCCTCTACCTCGACGAGATAATCCTGCAAGACCTAAACGCATCAAAACAAGAAGAACTCGAGTTCCACCAGTACTATGGGTACGTTACCTCAACGCTTTCTACCCAAGTCCGTTACATAGCTGTCCTCAGGAACCCCATTAACGAAGCCATAACCAAACACAGAAACTACCAACTCACATCCGACGGCGTATGCTACCGAACAGAAATCGCCGCCGGGTTAACCTACATGCCATTACGACTTTGGCAGGACTATGTGCTAGGATACTCAACCGAAGGGGTAGACGAGAAGATGTCTGCGGCTGTGATTCGGGGATGGATTGGTGTGTATATCAAGGAAGCGGATGTAGCGATTGCGCGGTTAGAGGATTTGTATATTGCGCAGACGGAGGATCAGGGCGTGGTTAGGATGTTGTTGAAGAGGTGGCGGCAGATTAGGGGGCTTTGTGAGGAGGCGGTGGATCGTGTTTCTTCTTCATGAGCTATTCTTGTGGGGGTGGAAAGGGGGGAAGCGAATAGATTAAGTGGAAATAAGGGGTATATTAACTATCAATCGGTTCAAATACAAGTACACAGATGCTTTGTGCTGGATAGGCTACAAAATGTCGATCGGGATGGCGCTGGCATCTCTTTGCTTTCGACGTGTGCTGCTTGCCCAGAACCAGGTGCTTCATCATGTAGTTCACCACGCACTTGATACCGAGCTCTTCGCCTCTGCGCACAATGTAGCCGTTTAGGTATTCAATCTCGGTCGTCTTGCCGGCTCGTACGTCCTGCAGCATGGAGCTGTGGTTCTTTGCTGTCTTGCTGGCAAGCTGAGTAACCATCCAGCGCAGTCGTTCCGGGGAGAATCGGCTCTCGATACCAGGGATGCCCTGTAGTTCGGGAAGGGCGCAGATCACGCTCGAAAACTCATGAAGAAGCAATCGCGTCACGCGCGTGAGACTGTAGTTGTAGAGAAGCTCGCCATTCTCGCAGTTCATCAACGCCGTCAACGGATTAATGACAGCGTTCATCGCCAGCTTCTCAAGCTGGTAGAGCATAAGAGCGGACGGAGTCTCCGCGACAGCAACCAGTGGAGGAGTGAGAGTCATGGTCCGCAGGAGATACTTGGTGCTAGCGGCCCAGTCATCCTCGTTTTCACTGATCGGAGATGTTGAGTTCGAGGGCAAGGCCGGTCCCAGGATGGTCGTGCCGATGCCCGTATGGGCGACTTGGAAGGGTTCTTTCCTGCGAGCCAACCCATGCGAGACAATGCCTTGCATGTAGTTCGGGCGTTTGCGGGGATCAGGGAAGACCTTTTCGTTGAGCTCATCGATGACGCCCATGCCGTTCTGAAGTAGTAGGACCGTAGAGTCGGGTGTCAAACGATGCTTAACAGATTCCAAAGCCATAGCTGTCACCGGCGCCTTGACACTAACGACCAAGCATTCAATGCGCTCCTCATCTTGGACAGACTCGGCCAGGGACCCTTCAACATCGATCTCGTCTGCTCGAGCTATGGCTTCCCCGTTCTTCCCGTTTTTATCCCAGTATGGGAATGCGTGCCATGTTTTGCCATTCAGGACATTGACATCGAAGCCCGTCTTGATATCGTCCAATCCATTCGAGTTAATCGCTAAGCACTTTTTCCTCCCCAGCCATGACTTGTACAGATTGGGGTTATGCAAGAGTAGAGTGACAGGCGGAGGAGACGGACGACTTGCGAGAGAGTGGGCAACGAATGTGCCTACATTCCCAAGGCCTAGGATATGTATGCGTCCAGATAGTCGGCGCTTCCCACTATCTTTCGACGCTTCTTCAGCATTCTGCATCCATGTCGACATGAGTCGACTATATGACTTTGGATGCGAATTACGCCTCGAAATAAAGCATAATTCGCAGACTGCCGTCCGCCGAAGCGGACTGCGACCCAGTATGTATGACACTTTGACGGCTGGAGAGTAAATACAGCGAGTCCAAGTTCAGGCGCCGTCCAAGCTGAGAGGTAATGAGTGAATCACCGTCTCATTATAAGATGGAGCAATTGATAACTACCCCAAGGACTGCCAGTGCTAATGTTATGCAAATAAATGAAAGATATAGATCGAGAGTGAATTCGGTATCGCATGAGGGAGAAGGCGGACAAATAGCTCTTCACCGCCCTGGAGACCGCCCGGAGATAAAAAATCGACATTATCCGCTTCTTTTCACTCGAACATCATCAATTATTCCCCCAGATATTCGTACACATAATCAGAATGGAGGCAGCAGACCTACTTCCGCTGCTCGAGCAGCTGGATGATAACATCGACGATCTTGAAGAGGCTTTGAAGCCCATCCTGGACAGCTCTGTGGTGGAGACGTCGAAGAAGCTTCCGGTGATGGATAAAGCGAAATTTCACGTCTTGGTGACTTATGCGTTGGAGTCTCTTATCTTCTGTATGTCACTATTGCAGTTGAAAGAAAATCAATTGCTAATCATCTATAGCGTATCTGCGTCTTCATGGCGTTAACGCTAAGGAACACTCCGTGTTTAGAGAATTAACTAGAGTCAAGCAATACTTTGCGAAGATCACCGCGCTCGAAGCGGAGCCGGAAAAGCGTACTCTAACTCTTGACAAGCAGGCTGCCAGTCGCTTCATTAAACATGGTCTTGTGAGTTCCTCCTATCCTATACGGCTTCAATGGGTAGAGGCTAATTTGGTAGGCGGGGAATGACAAAATCGACCTGGCGCGCAAGGAGCAGGAGGCGAAGGAGAGAGCACGCGCACAGCTAAAGGCGTCAATACTGGCTAAGAAAGCAGGTGCTACGTCTCAGCAGTCATCGCAGAATGCGACCAGCAACTCCGAGAGTGAATCCGAGTCCGAGGAGCTTGTGAAGCCCGCTCCCAAGCCGTCGAGCAAGGGTTCTGATGATAAGAAGAAGCGCAAGGACAAGCAGAAGAGGAGGGTCAGCAAGGAAGAGCACAATGAGAACAAGAAGGAGCGGAGGAAGAAGAAGGATGAATTGCGCAAGACGAAGAAATTGAAATGAGGAAGTAGCGATATTATGTCGATTTGCCGGCTGGACCGGTTGAATGGGCTGTCTGTTACTGGGATTGCAGCACTTTGGTGACAAGTGATTTGCGACCATCCCAGTAACAGGTACTGTCTACAGGCTTGCTACCGCGCAACTACTAAAAGTACACATGGAATGATGATACCCACCACATAGAGGACGGCCTCAATGAACACTATTGAAAGACGACAGGAATAGTGAGGATCCGGGTGCATGCCGTGGTGCACAGTAGGTTTGGTGTAGGATTGGATGAAGTCTTCCATGGACTACTATATGATTCGACTCATTTAGTCAAAGCAGTGGCAAGTGACTGACAGGAGAGGATGTTCATGCTCAGCCCTGTGGATCATGGCGCGATGCAGTGAGTCACTGCCGGAGTTAAGCAGACAAGTGCGGATATCTTCAGATCCGCTGCTCTGTAAGACTCGAACATGGTCTCCACTAAGTAGCCCATATCGCATCCACTAGCAATAGAACCATTCAGATGATAATAGTATCCCTCATTACCTACCTTGTTAACTCCTCGGTATTAAAGCAACGATCAACCGTAAGCGCCGGGACCGGCAGCTGACCTAACGTCCGAACCAACCAATCAGCGACGGCAGAATAACCAGGCGATCGGAGTTTTCGAACTTTCTCCGCCCGACTTTCGAGCTTCTTCTTTTCCGACTATAAAACAACTCTCTCTCTCTCCACCCGCATTCCCAACACTTACCCTTACACCCTTCATACATACAAACAACAACCACCTTTACAACCTTCAAACCCTCTCACAAAACCACACAAAATGCCTCGTCAACGCCGTGGTGCCGCCCCTACTCCCGCGCGCAGCGCTCCCACCCGCCCTACCGCTGCTCCCGCCAGACCTGCTGCCGCCCCTTCCTACGGGCAGCAACAGCCTCACTCGACCGCTGCTCACCCCCAGCAGCATCACGCTCCCCCTCCGGCTGCTGCCCCCGCTGCCACTCCCGCCGCTGCTCCCGTCCAGCAAAGCCAGGGCCCCGGTCTCTTCGGCCAGATGGCCTCGACTGCTGCGTACGTTGCCACACATATACCCTCATACAAACCAGCACAAAAACTAACACATGTATATAATAATATAGTGGTGTCGCCGTCGGCTCCTCCATCGGCCATGCCATCGGCGGAATGTTCTTCGGCGGTGGTGGCGGCTCCAGTGCCCCCGCTGAGGCTCCCCAACAGGCTGCGCCGGCTCCGGCTCAGGCCATGGACAACGGCCTCTGGGCTGGAAACGCTACCAACAGCTCTTGGGAGGCGCCGGCCTGTGCTACGGATGCGCAGAACTTCCGCAAGTGCATGGATGAGAACAAGGGTGATTTGACGATTTGTGGGTGGTATTTGGATCAGTTGGTACGTTCTCACTTTTCCCTTCTGTCTTTCTTTCTTGGTGGGAGAGAAGTGTTGGGTGATTGTGGATGATTGCTAATGGCTATTGTTTGTGTGTGTGTAGAAAGCTTGCCAGGCTGCTGCTAAGCAGTACTAGAGTGGCTTTTTGGTGATTGATGGATGGTGGACGAGATGAATGATTTTTATATGGATGGGCATATATGCATAGTGGTGGATTAGCCCGTTATTCTCTCTTATTTTATTATTATCTATTACCCTTGTATAACATATACCACTTTGGAAGTTACTACCCTTATTTTATGGGGTTGGCTATGTCTGTGATGGGCATGCATGGACAGGAACTGAAAATATAGATAAAAAAGGATCATTCCACTCTTCATCTGCTTCTGTTTTGTTGGTTATGGTAGACTAGTAGATGACAGATGATAAGACAGGCTTGACATCATTCTCATAGAGGTACATACATGCTTCGCTACAAGCAGAGGAAGTAGGAGTTTGATACATACATAGCACTAAAGAACCCAAGTATATTCGCACTACATCACGGCTCATCGTCTGTCTCCATCATTCCGAGGCTGGAAGTTCAACTAGATAACACTGCATCAGTACGTCATACACTTATCGTCAGCATTAGAGTACTCACCTGATTACCATTATAGAACTGTCGATCATTCCCCTCATTCTGCGCATCCCTCAACGTCCGAATAATCGGTCCTCTGGACGCATTCACCCGCCTGCGTCCCGCATCATTCGACCCCGAAGAAGCCGTGCCAGGAGCCGGCGCAGCCTCATTACCCGATGACTGCGTCGTTCCATACCCAAAGAATGATCCCACAAGCCCTGTCGCAGTACCAACCGCCGACGACACCAGTCCGTAGGCAGACGACACCGCTCGGACTGGCAAGCTCGCACCCGCGCCGGAATACGCCTCTGTGTAAGACTGGATCGGGACCATAACCAGGTTGGCGGAGCTGCCGAGTCCCAGCTCAGCCAGTGTTTGCTCCTCGTCGGCGATGGTGAGGGTGCGATTCGGGAGAGGCGTCAGAATATGTTTGAGGTTGTAGGGGCTGCGCTCTTCCATTTGACTGTCGAGCCAGGGACGGACGTCGTTGCGGATGGTCTGGGCGGGAGTGAAGCTGGAGCGCACGGAGCTGCCGTCGAAGAGACGCACTTGGAGACGGTATTGCTTCGGAGGGGAGGGCTGGCGCCGCTCAGCGGGTTCCGAGGTGGGTTCCTTGGGCGCGGCAGCGGCAGATGGCTTCTCTTTGGGGGCGGGCTTGGGCTTAGGCTTGCTCTCTTGTGTGGCTGGTCGGGGAGTCGGCTTAGGTGCTGGCTCTTACTTCTGTTGTTGGAGTTTCTTCGTCGGGGACGGACGGTATTGCTCGACGCGCGCATCATCTACTCGTCTCTTTCCTTCGCGGATAGTCGCATCACGGGGTTGCTCTGGCTCGGTTGTGGAGGGCTGGGGTGCAGGCTGAGCTGGAGCTGGCGTAGGAGCTGGCTCTGCGACAGGCGCTGGTGCCGGTATAGGCGCAGAAGACACAGGTGCCGGCGCAGGAGCATCAGAAGCCACAGGAGCAGACACCGTCTCGCTCCCAGCAGCACCTGCATTCCCTACATCCTGCTGAACCGGCGCGCGACTCTCATCCAGCTTCGCAAGTAGGCGATAGCGAAAGTCCTCTTTGGAAATGTCCGGCACGAAGTAATCGCACATCATACCATTCCTGCGACGATCAGCAACGCCCAGAACCCAAGTACTGTTGCACATACTTTATCACGACGACGGTGGGAAACTTAACGATGGGACAAAAGGAGGCCAGAAAGCCCGCTTCCTGACTACCTTTGGTGAAGCGCAAGAGGACAGCTCTCGATTGGAGCAGTTGCGCTAACTGCGTAGCGTTAGCAGATGCAGAAATATGTGTATCGAATGTGCTGCAGACCTCCTCATCAAACGTAAAGTAGCTCTCCTCCCATTCCGTACTCGCCTGCTCGTCATCTAAGTAGCTGTGTCAGTACTGCGGAGTATCGCCGAGCTCCAGCATCCCTCCATTTCCAATGGCCGTAGATAAACGAACCTCTAACAAAGCAAACAACAGCCTTGCTCTCAGCAACCGCTGCAGCAATACCCTCCTGTAAGCTCCCGGAGTAGAACATATTGCGTCTCGCGTTCTGCGTAAGTGAAGTAGACAAATGACAACCTGAAGCTAGTGGTTACGGAGCTACAGACTGACACCCGCAATCGATAAGCCGACAATCCGCATCGGCGGAAAAGACCCCGTCCCGACCCGCACTCTCTTCATTCTTCCACTGGCACTTCGTTCACCAACTGACTCCAACTCAATCAATTACACCAGAAACTAAATCAACGCAGCGCAAAATGCGCTCCCTCCTCTCCGTCCTCTCCCGGACGGGCTCAAGAACCACTCCCCTACGCCCCACATCCTCAATCCTGCGCACCGCTCTCAACAGAACAGGAACAGCAGCAGGACCGGACTCCCTCTGCACGCGCTGCCTCCGCCGCACCAACAACACCACCCAGCTTCGCTTCTACAACAACAACCAATTTACCGACGACCAGCGCTGGCTCTCCGTCGTCGATGCCCCCTCCCAAGTCGTCCGCACAGGCCGGAAACATGGTCCGGGACTGATCATTCTCGGTGCGCCATAACCCCATCCATTCCAACCTCATAACCATAGACTAACATACAATGATGAAATACAGCACTAATCCCCATAATCTCCTTCGCCCTCGGAACATGGCAAATTCAACGCCTAGAGTGGAAAACGAACTTAATTGCCAAATTCGAAGACCGGCTAATCAAGCCCCCGCTGCCTCTACCCCCGCGGGTCGACCCGTCCGCGATCTCCGAGTTCGATTACCGCCGTGTCGTCGCGACGGGGACGCTGCGACATGATCAGGAGATGCTGGTGGGTCCGCGCATGCGGGAGGGCCAGGATGGGTTCTTTGTGGTGACGCCGCTGGAGCGCGAGGGTGGGAGTACGGTGTTGGTGAATCGGGGGTGGATTAGTCGGAAGATGAAGGAGAAGAGGGATAGATTGAGGCAGGGGGAAGGGAGGGCGCTGCCGGAGGGAGAGGTCGTGGTGGAGGGATTGTTGAGGGAACCGTGGAAGAAGAATATGTTTACGCCGGATAATGTGCCGGCTGAGGGAAAGTTTTATTTCCCTGATATTGAGCAGATGGCGGAGTTGACGGGGAGTCAGCCCGTTTGGATTGAGGAGACTATGGGTATGTTATTCTTCCTGCTTCAATTTGTCTTTTCGACTTGGTTTGGCTTTGGCTATGTATTGGGACGAAGAAGCTAATCTAGGATGCTGGATCAGTCCCCGATATGGTTGAGGCGATGGATCGCGAGGCCAAGGGTATTCCTATTGGCCGTGCTGCTGAAGTCAACCTCAAGAACAACCACAGCCAGTATATCTTTACTTGGTAAGTTTCTTTCCTCCGTTCCTCGGATGCTGCATGACTGCATGGCTGCATGGCTGCATGGATCCTGGCTAACGGCTGCGCAGGTACGGCTTGTCGCTGGCAACCTCCATCATGCTGTGGATGATCATCCGCAAGCGTCCCAACGAGGCTACTCGGCGTGTGCGCCAGAACCGGAACTGGTAGTGGCTCCTGCCCCGCATGCTGGACGGCGTCTGGACTTGTATCTATAGGAATTGTATATCTATACCATCATGGTGGCATGGCCAATCTCATATCTTGCAGCAGCTCCTTGGGCAGGTGCTTTTGCGCCAGCGAGAAGATCGTGGTGGACTGGTTAACGTGCCGTTGCCTACTGAATTAGTATACGATGTAGAAGAATGGCAGAATGGCTTAACTTACCGCCGCATCAAGGTTGCCACATCGCTTTCGTCGATGGTCTTGCGCCCCGCGTGCTTGGAATACGCAGCCAGATCTTCACTTGCCTGCTCGAAGAACCACGACGAGGCCTGCTCAATCGCGGCTAGTGTCTCCTTGCTGATTTTGGCCTTTGACCCGTTCCGCGCCCGCGCAAACCGGGTGGCCAGCTTCTTCACGACTCCGACGGGAAGGTTGGGCACGGGAATGCCATGTCGGGAGAGCTTCTTCTGTTTCGCGCCGGATATGTAGCGGTCCTCGTCCCGCAGACCCCCTCCGGCAATCCCTGGACTCTGGCTCTCACTTAGTGCCACCGGAGCGGGCGGCGGCGATTGCAGTTCCATGCCAAAGTCGCCAGCAGCGATGGACACGCTGTCGGCATCATCAGACCCTGCACCAGTGTCCAATGGCATGTCCATGGAAAGCTCGAAGCCTTCATCGTCATGGATGGGCTCATCCTGGTCCAATTCCGCACCAGGAGCAGGCGGCGATGGGAAATTAAACTCAAAGTTGAACCGTCCAAGATCTTCCGTTTCTCCTCTGTATGGTCGTTAGCACACGGATCGCCCCCAATGTGCATAGTACTCACCCTCCATCAAAATCCCCTTGTGTAAGAACGGTATCTTCGCCTCCATAATCACCACCATGTACAATTCCCGTATCATCCCCTTCATCACTCTCACTCTCTAACCCAGTCGCCGCCCCAATCTCACTCAGGCGAGGGCCGCCCACGCTCATCATCGACAATCTATTCCGATCATACTCGCTCGTAGCCCGTCGAGGATACTCCACCGTGATATCCTCTTCCTCAAACGCCAACGACAACCGCGGTGGCCGCATCTCCGGCTCCTCATCTACATCTTCCACCTCATCCAGCGGCAGCGACAACCGGGGTCGTTCAATCTCAGGCTCATTATCCAGCTCCTCAAACTCGTCTCTCTCCGCTTCTGGTTCGGGCGATGGCTCTACTGGCTCCTGCGGCGAGGATTGTATAGGCTGGGTCGTCGGAGCAAGAGCTTTTCCCAGGTTCCGGAGGATGTCGAATGTCGTTTCGCGCTGGATTCGCCCGCTTCGTCTACGATCGCGTCCGGGCGTGTTCGCGGCGCGTCGCTGCAGCGCCTGCACTCGATACGGCGTGGAGGGCGCGCCGGCGCCCCTGTTTCGCGGGGTGTATCGGTTCGCGGAGGGGGTGGTGGATGCGAATCGGCTGGGGGTCAGGGGATATTTAGTGTGAGCTGGAAGGCGTTGTAGCTGGAACCGAGTTAGCAGGCATATTTTATAGGGAGAGAGCAGCTTACCCCTGTGAGTGTGGTGTCTCCTACTGGAGTCAATGCCTCCGAGGCATCAGACACTCGGGGTGACCGGCGACGCGGCTTGGGTGTGGTCGCCATTGGCTAGCCGGGATGCGGATTTATCGCATCAATCTAATTATTGGGTAGCAGTTATCAGCGCTCAGTAAAAATGCCAGCCGTTCATGATAATACAAGCCAATTATCGGCGATATTTGAAGAGGGGTTGAATGGCTGAAGTGATAACTGGAGCGCGTCTCGGAGACGAGCAGCAGCGGAACAGAAGGGAAGGCGGTCAACAAATCCCAGTTAGACCCACTGATTGGTGCTGCTTCTTATCGATAAGGAGAGAAAAAGTTGCACGGCCAGCGACATCATACGCTTCGTCACAGCTAATCCTGTGCCATTGAAGACTACGTTTCGGCCGTACCTCTGAAATACTGTCCAGCGATCGCAAAACCATGTCTGACGGAACTCCCAAGCCGTCCGCTCTCGCCGCCAAGGTGGACAAGAAGCGCAAGCGCCAGGCCGAAGACTCCAAGCCGAACGACGCAAAGCCGACTGGCAGCACCAGCGAAGGCCCGAACAAGAAGCGCAAGGGCGGCAAGAACTTCAATGACCGGAAGAACAAGGGCAAGGGCAAGGGCAAAAAAGATGACAAGGGCAAGTCGGATCAGAAGCCCGCTAAGAAGGAGCCTGTCGATACCAAGGTGACGGAGACCAAGGGCGGCATCGATGAAGCGATTGGAAAGATGGACGGCCGGTTGTTGGCCGATCACTTCGTGCAGAAGGCTAGGCGCCATAACAAGGAGCTGAGTGCGGTTGAGCTTAGTGATCTGTCTGTGCCGGGTAAGTTGGGTGTCTCTGATACTGGAGATTGGAGTACTGACGGGAATAGATTCCGCGTTCCTGGATACGTCGGCGTTCGAACAGACCCGCTCCCTGGAGCAGCTTCCCGCGTTCCTGAAGGCGTTCAGCCCGAACAAGGGGGCTGACCTTGCGAAGGCATCGGAGGAGAAGGGTACCCCGCACACTTTGGTTATCTCTGGTGCTGCGCTCAGAGCTGCCGACGTTGTTCGGTAAGTCCATGGAAGCTGATAGTGAGAAATGATAGGCGGTGCTAACATTTCTGAAGGGCTCTCCGTTCGTTCCAGACTAAAGAAGCTATTGTCGGAAAGTTGTTCGCCAAGCACATCAAGCTGGAGGAGGCCAAGCAGTTCCTGGAGCGCGCACGGTACGTATCCCTTGTGTGATTTATGACCATCGCTAATGATCAATAGCACGGGCATTGGAGCCGGCACCCCAGCTCGTATCTCGGACCTTATTGAAGCAGGTATGTTGAAGATGAACTATGAATATATGTAGCAGGTCTAATCGTTACAGGCTCCCTCAAGTTGGGTGAACTAGAGCGCATTGTCATTGACGGATCCTACGTGGATCAGAAGCAACGAAGCATCTTCGACATGAAGGAGACGCACCTCCCGTTGTTGCAGCTTCTCACACGGCCAGAGTTGCGGGAGCGGTACGGCGCAGCAGAGAAGAAGATTAAGATCTTGGTCTTTTAGCGGTTGAGTATATCATATGGCGTTACGAACGGGCTGGCATCGTTTTATTTGCTCATGTATAAACCTGGGAGTTGTTCATAGAAGACAAAAGTGACATTCACACTGATGATCTTTGAAGCTACAGACCTTGAGACTAAGGTTGAAACAAAGTAATATTATAAGCTAGAGTCCCGGGGGTTTCTAGGAGGTTGGTCTGAAATTATAAGAAAGATTTGTGAGAAGAAGAAGATGAAAGCTGGAGTTATGGTACTTTATATAGATCAAACACAGCAGTGGAGCCATAGAAAGAAGGATTACAGTGTAGGGCTTTCAATACCGTGGTATTATACTTCAGCATAGTGCTGACACTCTCAGCAGCCTCCTGTGCAGGACCTTTGTCATTACCATCATTAAAAAGAGCTTCCTGATGTTTGTCTTTATTCCCTATCTCCATTTCATTGTCTTCTAAGCCGTCGGCATCTCCAGGATTCTGGAATATAGCGACAAGAGACAGATACTCCGCTGAGAAGAAACATGATAAAAAGGAAAGGCATAGAAGCAGAATGCTTTCAGACGGGTTTGAACACGCAAGGTTCGGGGTAAAAAAATTGGATGGGATCCTGGTTTTTGTTTTTGGGGACGTCATCCTGTTACCAGAGTTCCCAGTTCTCCCCAAGGTATATCATGATATACCTATCACCTTTTCTCACTACATGCATGCAGAACCCTTTAAGGCGAGTTCGAATGCGCAAATTTCAAAAATAACATTTGTAGGGGACTTGGTTTCAATTGACGCAGTCATTAGTTGTTCCCAGTTGAGCCAACATGACCTCGAAATCCGTATGTCATAATTTCCAAGCTGAATATAGTACTTTTTCAGTTGAAACCAACCTATGTCAACATTCTTCGCCTGTATGTAGGTTACTCGACTTTGAACACCCTTATTGCTTGCAGGAGTCATTGCCACGTTTAAGTTTTCTGTACCACTATCTGACGGGATATTGGGACAAAAGATGTATGTGGTGGCCACCGAATGTCTTAGATGGTTATCACTGCTTTATTTATTTTACTATGGAGTTATCTCCAGCTTAATTTTTGTATATTATTAGTATCCTGAGCAGATCCTTCTGATATATATGTTACTGCAGGTCGTTAGTTTGCTCAGAACTATAGCAATGACTCCAATCTAACTCTTCCCAACACTTAAATCATACAACGTGACATCAAAGCATATTGGGAAACATGTCATCTACAACACTATTGTGCACATCTCACCTCCAGCACAAAAAGAACTACTAGAAATATAGTCCACGTAAACTAAATCTCAGTTTCCCCAGTATATCCCCGATATCTGGGCCCTCATATGTGTAAGTGTAAGGTCGACTCGAGCGGTCGATACCACACTGTTGGAGGGTGAACGAGTTCAACCTGGGCATATAGTCTTTCATGAGCCAAAGTAAGGCTTCCCAGCGCACTGGAGTGTGGCACCAGCAATCGAAGAAGCCCACAGAGACAAGGTACCGACCGTTGACTCTCAACAATCTGAGGAGGTCCTCCGAATGGACGGCAACAGAATGAAGCTCTAGATGTTTTAATCGAGGAAAAGGACCGGCCTTACTGAGAGGTGACAGGGAGTTCCTATTCCGTACAGGGCTTTTGCAACTCTCGCTGAAGATGAGGCGCTCCAGACACGGCGCCTCCTTGAGGATCTGGCAGACAGCGGGTTCCACAGCTTCACCACAGCGAATGGTTTCGTCGTCGACAATTTTCAGGGTGTGTAGGTTTGTCCAGCCGCGAATCATGTTGCAAGGCTCTTTAATGTGAAAGAATAATCTGTCATTACTCGAGCTAGCGCCAACTAAGATTTTGGCTCGATCTGGCGGAACAGAGAAGGTAAGCTGCTCCGGATTAATGTCGGCTTCTGCAAGGATTTGAAGCAAGATGTTGATGTATTCACTCTCGGCCTGTATCTGGGTCACTGTTGCCTCTATGCAGATCTCAAAGCTGCGACAGTTGGTGAGAGAGTACTTGAGGTCGTTCATCAGGGTATGGATCTCTGGTAATTTCAAGGAAAGTTGCATGAACTCGCTTTTGGCGCTGAGTTTTTCACCAGGGCAGAGATAGCGCCATGGATACACGACTCGCATGGCTCGTGGAATGTGGCAGAGCTCAGGGTTCGAGGCGATTGTATGGATTTTTTGAATGCTCGAGCGAGTTAGCTTTGTATGAAGTGTCGGTAGATGCGGCAGGATGAGTTTGAAAGCGAGGGTGTATATCTTCCCCTCCATCTCTTTGGAGATCAGCCGAAGGGCAAGCATTTCGTTTGTCGGGAGGTAGGTGACCACTTCCCACCAGAGCTCGGGCAGGAGCTTTTCGAATGGGGCCTCTCCTTTTGCATAAACGAAAGGTTTCTTAGGTTTTCTGGGGCCAAAATGCTTCCGTACTGGTAGGAAATAGAACTCCATGATTTAGTGTCACAGATGGCACAGGATAAATTGGTGGATGGGATTCGAGCTGTACATATGTTGGCGCAGACGCAGATATAGCAGTCATGAGGAGTAGAAAAACACTACAACAGGCCATCCGTTTCATTTATGTTCGAAAGTGTAGTTGTCGAACAGGTTGTTGACGCTGTTGTGGCTTGCAAGTGAAACCTTTTTGGGCGGGAAATCACCTGGTCCCATTACAGTGAATGATGCATCAACCACTACTAGAGTTTAATCGCAGAAAAATTTCTCTTGAACTACGTAATATGGGAAAGATCCGGTCATCTCTTTCCCAAAACACATACATACTATCAAGCAACCCCAGCCTGTTAGGGCTCTGTTGTGATAGCCAGCCGTGGACACGCAGATCTCCAAACTAGAATATCATTTATAGAATGTCATCCAGTTTGAATATTGGTAGGCTATCTAGTAGACCTGTAATACCAGTAATAGTTCAGAAAAAGGAGTCAGCAAAGATCCAACCTTGCGGGCTGATAATGCCGGTTCGACGAAGACAATCTCCGGCATTCAGATTATCCTGACTACGAACAGTTTTAAAGATACAACATAAGGAAACATCCATCTAATTCTGGGTTGAGATGTAGAATCCTACCCCCTTTTGGTTCTGGACAACGCAGAACGATCAGGTGCAGCAGCGTAGCACAAAGGATAAGGTAAGATGCAAAAATGTGAAATGTGAAAACGCATAAAGTTAAGATATCAGATGTAAGATGCTGAGATACTATTAGATACAAACGCCATTGATTATTACCATTGCAAAGCCACCACTGACGTGGCGAACGCTTGCTGACACTAGGTTCTGCTTCCCCTCTAGTGGACAGGAGTGGGGGTAGAAATATACAATCAACACTGAAGGTATTCCAGTCGACAACGGGATCAGACATTTTGGCAGATCATCTCCAGCAATCCATCCCTCTCATTTTGAAACAAGTCCCCATATCTCGTACCTCCAGCCAGTTTAGGCAGACTCTAGCTTTGTTACAATAGTGTCAAAGGACTCACCGCGTTCACTAATCTTCGCTGACGAAGTCAAAAGCGTCATTACGGCGAAGCATATTCTACACAGCAGCTGGCATTGTAAGCAGCAGCAAGAACAAGTTCGACTCGAAAACGCTGTCTATCTTGATGTCTATTATATCCTGCGGAACCAATGTTGACAACCACTGTGTCCACTGTTTAACGTCTGTGACAAGTGACCTTCGTTCTTGTTGGCTGCTATTGCATATATCGGTCGATCACCCATTTGAGGAGACAGCCATAGTTGAAGGCTTTATTGTTTTCAATCAGGCACCATTCTCTTCCTTGAATACGGCTGACTTGGGAGGTGAGACAAAAGGGAAGCTGACGGCAGACAGGCAATGTCATACTTGAACTTCAAGAAGTCCACATAGCAAAAGGGTCAGATAATCAGTCTGCCCACAGTAAAGGCAAGGCAATCCCCTCATATGATTTGTTGAACTAGAAGCCATTCGGAGGCAGTTCTTAGCCAATGGAATGGATCATGGCAGCGTCGAAGCTGTATACCACCCGAAATGCGTTTGACCACCGGACCAAGTTTATTTTAGGTTAAACGATGGCCATGTTTACTGATCACCTGTTCAGTCGGGCAAAAGCAGTCGCAGAATGTTCTCCACTCTCCAGGGACAGATGACGACAAGAAACAAGCATACTATGATATCATGCGAAGAGATGCTATGCTCGCAGATTGAGGATGAATATAGCCCCAATATATGTCATAATTTAATATATCGGACCAATGGCCCATGGTGGAGACCGAATATATATTAAAGGACATATATTGCTGTTCTGCATCGTATTAGAAAAGACATATGTCCTCAACTTTGCAAAACTTGGGGCCAGCCACATAGTAAAATGATTGTTCATAGTGATAAGAAACTGACTCGAAGCATGCTTCAAATAATGGTTTACGCCAATGATAGCGTACGTGCTCATACCGTGGTGCAGAGGAAATCCCACCGCGATGCTTACTACCCTTGCTACGAGGTGTCTTGGGCAATAATTACCCACATTGGCTAGCTGTTGTCTTGGGCCCAATCTGGTGCATTTGGCGTTTATTCCCAGCCTTGCATTTGTTCCCAGCCTTAGTGGGCATTGTTTGAAGGGACCATTGGTTGTACATTCACACGAGTAAACGAGAATCTGGTAGAAGCACCTTCATCGAGTAAGAAAACCAGCAGTGGTGATATGAATCTTTGCTCCACTTACATCTTGCTTGAGAAGAATTCGAGAGTGTCTACTAGTTCGACTATGGTATGTTCAGTTTCACAAGACATTTGTACTATGAACTGCAAGCCTTCGGGCGTTGTGGTTATGGAGCTCGGCGAGAATCCAATCCCGCAAAGCTGCGTCTCTATCCGTATTGTAATTTGGTCGACGATATATATAGTAGTAGTGACATTGCCGCACCCCAGGAATAAAAGAGCCAGTGACTGGTGAGGTACACATTAAAAGCCCCGGGTACACGATATACGATATCTGTTTGTACCTCGCGCGTGCCTGCTCATATCGCAGGTTTGTAGTATTGATGTCAAGAGAGCCATCAGGGGAGTTGAACAATACAAAGTAGTATCACTGGAGTATTCCCAAGCATGGGAGCTTTCTACAGATGTAGTGATCGTCACATTTATTCAGCACAGCTGCATATTTAGTAGCTGTTTGGAATTGTAGTTGTTGCATCACTCTGGAGGATCTATCATCCCGTGGATAGTATGTAGGGTTTAGTGATTGTTAAGCTCGGATCATATATAATTGAAAGGAGATACCAGTCTATGCTAGGCTAGTATCCAGTAAATACGTAGTGGATTACTACTAGTAGTAAGTGTAAGACTGTCTTGCTTCGTTTGACCTTCCAGAAGATTGGAGACGATGTAATGTAGAGATGGAGGAAGAAGAAAAGACGGAAGCAGCTGGGAGCAGAAAAGCTGAAAATATATACCCTTTAGTCCTGTATTCAAGAGATTAGGCTTGAATAGAGATTAGTCAATGCATAGGCATGAATCAAGTAAATGAATGGAATAATGCAATGCACTTATCAATCATCTAAATATCAATAAGCCTTACCATAAACAGGTGAATACAATTAATTGCCCTATACTAAGTTAATGCCTAAGGCACAACAATATACATCCCCTTCCTGAATACCAGGCACCTAAACCAAAATCAGGCACCACAACATCCCCCACTCACCGCTTCCCAGCTCCGCCCGGCAGAAAAAGGAAATTTCCAATACCGCCGATCAATCTACTCTTGTTGCGATCTCTTTCCCACACCTTTATTCTATACCAATTCCTCATATATTTACTTTTTACCCCTAATTCACAATGGGCGACAAGAAGCGCAAGCTCGCCGAGGAGGCCACCTCCCCCGAAGTGAAGAAGGCCAAGCGCGAAGACAAGAAGGAGAAGAAGGAAAAGAAGGAGCGCAAGGCAAAGGAAGTTGTCGAGGAGGTTCCTGTTGTTGAGAAGGAGGAGAAGAAGGAGAAGAAGGAAAAGAAGGAGAAGAAGGACAAGAAGGACAAGAAGGACAAGAAGGAGAAAAAAGAGAAGAAGGAAAAGAAGGAAAAGAAGTCCGAGCCCGAGCCCGAAGCCATGGACGTCGACGAGACCCCCGCCGAGAAAGAGAACCAGGAGCCCGAGGCCGAGCCGGAGGTGACCAAGGAAGAGAAGAAGAAGGAAAAGAAGGAGAAGAAGGATAAGAAGGACAAGAAATCCAAGAAGGAGAAGAAGCAGCAGCAGGAGGGAGAAACGAATACCGAGGCTCAGCCTACCAGCGAACAGACCGAAGAGCCTGCTGAGCAGGAGGAACAGCAGAATAAGAAGAATGTGCGGTTTATCTGCTTTGTCGGTACGTATCCAACTCTTTCCCGATGCCCCATATAGACCCGACCAGATACTAATATAAATTCGTATAGGAAACCTCCCCTACTCCGCCGACAAAGAGTCCCTCACCAAGCACTTCGAGAAGATCGCCCCCGTTTCCGTCCGCGTAGCCACCCAGGTCGACAAGCCGACCAAGTGCCGCGGCTTCGGCTTCATCGAGTTCGACAACTACGACCGCATGAAGACCTGTCTCAAGCTGTACCATCACTCCATGTTCAACGATGGAAAGTACCCGCCGCGACGGATCAATGTGGAGCTGACGTGAGTTATACATACCGACTATTATATTCAGCAGCAAACTGACATATATGCTATGTAGTGCCGGCGGTGGCGGTAACTCCAAGGACCGGAAAGACAAGATCGAGGCCAAGAACAAGAAGCTTTTCGAAGAGAGACAGCGCAACGCCAAGGAAATTCAGAAGGAGAAGAAGCGGTTAGAGCAGGTCGAGGAGACGGGTGTGGATGACTATGCTCATATTCATCCTAGTCGGAGGCCCCGGATGGCTTAGACGTAGCGGATGATTGTTGCTGCTGCTGTTGTTTGTTGTCTTTTTGAACTCATTGGATTAAAAAGTATCTTGTCTTTGCTTGTTTGCTTAAGAGATATCCTCTTCCGTTTCTCTTCCCGTTTCTGATGTGCATATTTTGGATGATGATGAGAAGTCAGGCACGGAATATAACATAGATCTGGATGATTACCCTACAACCGAATATTTCATATAGTAAGTAGCCAACCAACCGTGAAAGTAAGATCTGTAAAACCCCAGAAACCCGTAAGTCACGTTCATTGAGTGGTATTGTATGGCATGTTACATCTTTATACTGCATTAAAGGGAGGCGAGGAGGGGGACAATGAGAGGCAAGGTTATCCTGAACCCGAAGAAAATAGAGAACAACATCAGGATCATGGCACCAAAAATGGACGAGGAACGGGGCACACAAGGCAAAAAGAGAAGAAAAAAAAAAGATCATCAAGATGGGGCCGGCACAGGCCCCGTAACCCAGACGCCGTATTAGTTGTTTATATTATTGGGAAGTCGAACATGTCCCTTTGGGACGATCTACAGAATCACGCATTTCTTGTTCTTCGGTTTGGCCGCAGGCCGGGGATTGAGCACGGCGCTATGTGAACGTTAGTCCCCCAATTCCAGTAGTATATGGGTTTGTTCGAACATACCGAATCGCCTCGTCGAATACACTCTTCAGGTTGCGCTGCGTCAGGGCCGAACATTCGAGGTACTTGTGTGCCCGGATTTCCTTGGCCACGGCCAGAGCTTGTTCGTAGGAGACGGGCTCCATCTTCCGCTGTCGGAGAGCATCTATGGTACCACGGTCGTCTCGAAGGTCGAGCTTGGTGCCGACCAAGATAATGGGGACGTTGGGGGCATGGTGTTCAATCTCCGGGAACCACTACATCCGTCAGGGTCAGTAAGCGGGTCTCCGGTCGGTAGGGATGGTGAAGGAAGCACCTTGGCTTTAACGTTGTCAAAGGACGGCGGGCTAACGATGGAGAAGCAGATCAGGAAGACGTCGGTTTGCGGGTAGGACAATGGGCGAAGACGGTCGTAATCTTCCTGTCCAGCAGTATCCCAGAGTCCCAAGCTAATCGGTCGGCCATCTACCATGACACTAGCGGTGTAGTTATCAAATCTGCGGGAATCCGGTCAACACACGAGGTCCGCATCAGACGAGGAGTATCAGGGCCCAAGGGGGGTACGGACACGGTAGGGATATATTCGCCGGGGAAAGCGTTGGTCGTGTACGAAATCAGGAGACATGTCTATTGTTCGATTAGCAACAGCGATAACGAAATCGACCGATCTAGGAAGCAAGAGGGGGGGAGGGAGGGGGGAGAGAGAGGTCGAGCTGGTTGAAAGGGGAGCAACATACTTTTCCTACCGCACCATCACCCGTCACCACACACTGTGTGCACCAGCGCTCCGTTAGCCGCAATCTGACAGACGGACACGCAGGTGGATGATGCTGACCTTGAGGGATTGAGTAGCTGGACCAGTGGCCATGGTCACGTCGAATTGAGGCGAGGGATGGGAAAGTAGCCCTCGATAATATATAGGTACAGTAGTAGCGACACGGGCGAGAGGGACGAAGAGGGTATTGGATTTATCGCAGGGAGCTTAAAGCGACGGGGGGGTGTTATTGGGTGAGTGTTTACTGAATAGTGGCTTGACGGGCGGAGAGAGAGAGGGACAACTCGAAAGCGGGTATCTGCGAAAGGGCAAGGCTAATGGTTGAACCGGTCAGGAGAATTCGCAACCCAGGCGGAGATAGACACGGAAGAATATCGACACGAATGATAACCTCGAACCGCGCTGATGGAGCAGGAGGGAGTCACGAAGAAAAAATAGTATAATAAGAAATGAATAAAGAAATAAAAAGGGCAGACTGCACGCAGCACTGAATCACACACAGACAGGGAGGAAAAGACGGGGGCGGGGGGTTAAAGGAGGAGGAAGAGGAAGAAGGTGAGAAAGTAGTTAGTGAGTTAGTGGAGTGGATAAGGGAAAGAGAAGAGGGAGGGAGAGAGAGAGAAGAAGAAGACAGAGAGTAGCAGACTAGGAGGGGGGCAAGTTGAATGGAAATGGATCAATCAGTTCCAGTTCGGCTTTTGGTGGAGAATCTTGGTTGGGGATGGAGAACAAGAAGAAGAACAACCACAATACCGACAATGAGGATGGGTGGATGAAGAGATAGGTACTGGATAGCTCACCTTGCTGGAAAGATAGCCACTGGACAGGTATCACGGATTATCACCAATCATGGACTGAAGCAAAAGAAAGGGAAAAGAATGGGGGGAGTCTTGGTCGGTCTCCTTAGTGTTGCTGCTGCTGCTCACTGACGCTCTTTAGTCCTGACTAGTGAGTAACTTAGTAACGTAATCAACGGTCGGACGGGCCACACGGTCAGGCGGGCCATCTGGTAATACTATACAAAAGATATCTTTTTAAACATAATATATCTCTACCATCCAGGTCTAGAAGAATTAGATTTCTTCTATATAGATTTTAAATAATATAAATAATATCTATATACCTTCTAAAAATGAATATACTTTTACTTATGGACTTATCATATTACAATATCTGTATTTATATGTATTATATAAGAATCTGGTTTCATTATCAAAGTAAAAATTCTAAAAATCTGAAAAATTCATGGAATACTTATTCTTATATATATAAACTATCTACAAAGTTAGAGCTTCATAGAAGTAGTACTGGTTGATATATAATAGAATCAAAAAGACATCTTTTATATGGGATTTCAGGATGGCCCGCCTGACCGTGTGGCCCGTTCGACCGTTGATTACGTTAGTCGTCGTGGTAGTAGTAGTAAGTAGTAGAGAAGAAGAGAGGAGCATGGCTGGGAGAATCCTCGACCTGCCACCAATCACTCCAGCTCAACCAATCCCTCGTTTCTATCCTACTAACTAATGAGATATACTAATTATAATCATCACCATCATCATAACCACCAACCCTTTATCTTGATTTCCTCCATCCCATCCCAGCCAGAGGGAAGATAGATCTCCGGAAAGGCAGAGAAAGAGAGAGAGGGTTGGGTGATCGACCGCTGGGAGCCAAGGGACGGCGCTTGCAGAGCTGCTGGTTCAGGGGGAAAGAAACGCATCCATTGGCGATGCTGCCATAGATACCAACCGCACAGTTCATGACTTTGGATCCAATCGTCTAGTACTGTTCAACTCCCTAACCCACGGACCACATCCCATCCCCATTCCATATCTCATCCCATCCCATCCCGTTACCTTCTATCCCAACTAGTTAAGACGTCTGACCGCCACCACCACCACCACCACTAAACCAACCAACCAAGCACAGACAGTAAGTAAGTAGTAAGTACAGTAGTACTTTCTAATATTAGAAATAAAAAACACACCCCCCCAGCCTACACTACTTAGAGATGCGTCCTACCTACAGTAGTCTACATGTTACTTGCTGTAACCGCAGATAGGATGGGCGCCCCGCTCACCCTTCCGATCGAATGGCAGTCCGTCCTGGAGGTCGTCTATTCTGGGCATCTGCAAGCCTTGGGTTTCATCACCCGATTCGTCGCGTGGCATGAAGGCATTATTTTCCCTGATCTTTTCCTGGAAGAGAATTAGTCTAGTAAGTATGGTACTTTGAAGCATGGTACTTTGGGATTTGGTCTCGTGACGATAGAGAAGAAGATGATGGTGCTTATACTTGTGGTACTACCCTGGATCGGGTCGGGCCTATCCCGACAGTAGTACTGACATGAAAGTATCTTTCTCTCACCACCACCACCACCATCATCATCGTCGTCGTCGTTGCATGGTGGCAGATCTATCTACTGATCAAGTCAAAGTTGGTGATCGGATGAAAGTTGTTATTATCGCAGTAGCTCTACAGTATTCCTTCCATGTAGTTAACTCCGTCTCCATCGGCCTGTCAATGTATGAAAGAAAACCTGAAGAGAGGAAGATAGGTCACTAAGTAGGGTGGGGTTACTAGTCTAACTTACTGGGTGACACAATTACTACTCCGATCCGTGAACTCTCTAGCATCCTGTCAGTCAATTTTAACGCTATCAATTCTCAATGGTATCTAGTGGGAACGTCATAAGCATGAACATATGTACAGAACAGCGTACAAGGTATCCACAGAAATATAAATGCCTTTCCTTTTCATCCTCTTGTCCATTTTATCACCCAGTTTTAGCTTTTTCTTTTTGTGTGTACACTGCTGTCAATCCGCACGAAACAGAAACTCCCACCGACGCCTGAGATGCAATGCGTGACTTGGCCTACATGACTGGGGGGGCAACAAACGTGTCCGGAATTCCATCAAAGACCCAGTTGAGCGAATCGAAGACCTCCGAAAACCCGGCTTCGCTGATAAAGGCCCCTTGGTCGAAGTTCGGTGGGTAGATCAATCCCGGGTCCGCCAGCGCCTCTTCCTGCTGCTGCCGAGTCATAGGACCGGCCGTCGCGGAAACACTAGGGTTCGCCATAGTAGCTATACTAAGTTAGTGGATACTATCCTCATCGGGACTATGATATACATACCTTGCGGATCCTCAATGCTCTTCATAGGGCGGAATCGTTGGCGCCAACGCCAGACAGTATCATAAACATGGCTCATGCTCATCCGGCAGCGCACTTTCAGCTGCAGGGCATCCTCTCCTGCTGGGCCCTCGGGGCTACCAGCATTCCACATTTGCGCCAGAATGTCAGCCAGGCGCACTGGACGGTCGTGGTCCATGACACTAATTCTCCTGATAGCCGAGATGGCTCCATTGAACAACAGTTTCCCATGTTCAAAGTCAATGTGGCGTCGAAATTCACTCTTCAGCAGCTTCATAAGGGCAAATGCGGCGGAAACAATCATCTGCAGAATGTAGTTGGTGGCATGCCCGATAAGCTCTCCAGGTAAGGTTTCCAGGTCGAGCACACGACCGAGGAACGATGTGGTAGCGATGAATAGCTTCGTCAGATCATCACTTCGTGCACTAGAGCCTAGGAATACAAAGTATCGTAGATGCAGCTCAGCTGCTCGTAGATGGATCATATTAATGTCTGCAGGGCAAGTTAGTATCTGCCAAACCATATCAAAGCATGCGGAAAACTAACTGGAGATATCGCGGCCAAATTCAACCTCCATGTCCCGAAGCTCATTCTCCAAGAGCTGTACAATCAGCAGTTTCTCTGAGCTAATGAACTCCACCGGGTCCGGCTTGCTGCTGTATAGTGCTTTAGTCACACGGTCGCAGAACTTCTCGATACGCAGTCGAGTCTTGAGGTCTTCGGAAGGGTGATAGTCTGCATCTCGAAGCGATGCGGGCTCGAGTGCCCAGTCGTAGATGGTTGACGGAGGTTGTCCGTAGCCGGTGGCGACGCTGCTACAGTTAGCATGTGCCAGCGATAGAGATCAGCAGACTTACTTCTGAGCCACAATGTTACAAATGACCCACGTCTGCAGACGATCCTTGACGGCCTCGCCTTGAACCTCCATCCGGAAAGTGGTGAACTCCTCCGCTTGGACTGGACGGTGCAACCCAAGCTGCATGGATATCTGCATCATTAGCCCGCTCAGCATAAAGGTAGCATCAGTCCTCTGGCTGGTAGTGGGCAATGGCCAGGTACAGAGAAGGCAAAGAGCCTTGACCACACGGTAGTCTTGGGGAACTCCGGTAATGGTAGACCAAAGCAGTCTGCTGAAAGGCCCCGAGAGCGCGCTGAGGAGGCCGGGTTCCGAGGGCGCTCGTCGGCTAGCGACACAGATAATAGACCAAGCCTGCAAAGGACAGCGGCGCAGATACTCATCCGGAGGCTTCTGCGGGTTCAACAGGGGAAGAAACGGGTGATAGTACTTGAAGAACCTGGATGCCTGTAAGCTACAGTAGCATGGAAAGGTGGGGCAGGTATATTACTGTTCAAACAGACGGGCAACCCTTGTCCTGGACAGCGAGACATCTTCCAGCCTCCATGGGTTATCATCTTGGGAAAGAATAGACCCATCTCTGTGCATGGTCAAAGGGGTAGCCATAGGCTGAGGCTCCAACGGCGCCGACAGCGGCCGCGCTCTGCTCGCAACTGCCGCATCAGGAGGACAGAATACATCCTCGGAACACTGGGAGAGCTCGTCGCTGCCATTGGCTTCTACAGACTGCGACTGATCACCAGTAGCAAGCCGCCGCCGGAGCTCTGCGATCTCCCGTTCCATTTCAGCATTACGCCTGCATATATGACTGGTCAGGCACAACGAGGTCCAATAGGGAGAGGGAATAAAAGGTTGAGAGGCTACCTTCGTTTCGAGATGCGTTTAAAAGTGGGCTCGACTTTGCATTCTATTTGAAGCCGGCGGCAGCGCGAACAAGCGTCCGCGGGAGTCTGCACAATGTCGCATCGAAGCTATGAAATCGACAAGGTCCATGTTCAGCCAGTCGTATAGATGAGATAAGATGGGGCGAGGTGGAGGAGGAGGGAAGCTAAGCATCGATAGTGATATGCATAGATCCTCTCATCCGAGACACATGGTAGAAAGTATAGCGAAGGCCGGGAACAGAATTAGCTTACCTTTTGCTGTTTACACTCATTACAGGCCTTTCTACAGCCACCCCTCCGCTTGCCCGTGATGGCGGGGATCTTCTCCATGCCGCAAGAGTCTAAATTTTTGGACGCGAAGTCGAAGCCTGTCACCGGCCGGGGCAGCCTCGGGGTGCTCCGAAGGTCGCTAGAGGAGGCCGGGGGTGTTATCAGATTGGCATGCGTCGCCAACCCAGTCGGTGCGAGGACACCCCGGAACTCCAGATCCATCAGTATAAATCAAGAAACATCCGACGGTCTTGGAACCGCGGGACCCGTTAACACATGCAAAATGATGAGCGCAGCAGATAGGAACCAGCGTGCAGGTGCCGGAAATCGGCAGAAAACTTTGGGTGGGTTTTGGTGGGCGACGGAGGAAATCTCTCGCGAATCTCGGCGGTTGCAGCTGAGTCAGCTGGGGCTGCCTGGATTTGAAGTCAACCAACTATATAAAGATGGGAAGACGGAACGAGTTAGCATTCTTTCGATCCAGCAATCAATTCTAGAACTGAGGAAAGCTTATCCAAGTACCCATGGTAAGTACATTCCATACTCCACTCTTGATACGCAAAAAATCGGTCTAGGTACCTGGAAGAGATATGGTCTGGAACGAAGCACCGTAGGACAGATCATTGGTATCTGACATTCCAGACAAATGACGTAGGTGTGTATCGATACTGCACATGTTAAATAATCGTCTGATTTGCAGTGAATCCAATAGTTAGATAACAATCTCTGTAATAATGATGGAAACAAATGATGCAAGTGATATCACTACTATCCGTCAAGTAAGTAGATCGATGCCCCAAAGTAGACTACGGTAAGGAACAAACGCATCATCAGGAACCAGTCACTGACTTTGGAGTGCCTCAGCCACACACACCACCTCAGCCTCCCCCACGGCAGCCTTACCCGGAATAGCAACTCTCCAGCTGTCGGGAGTTCGTAGGCTTCCGCAATAACCCCCGAGCTTCTTACTATCCACCACTATCAAACTATATACCCACTCCCACTCCCACTCCTTCCCCCTCAACCAACCCGTTCAGTACATCTGTGCTTCTTCTATCTTTTCGCTCATTAGTCGCCTTGACGCCTTTCCCGCACAACCCCCCATGGCAGACTCCGCTTTACACGATAGTCCAGCGCATGACCCCGATGCGCCACCGTCCAGTGCCGGGTCTACCGGCCACCCCGGAGCTCTAGAGCCCCGTCCCGGTCCAGCCCCTATGTCGGAAGAATTGAAGGGTCGTCTGGACAAGGTCGTCTATTCTGATGTGCGTGATGTCCATGGCATGCTTACGAGATAGACCGTGACGTACTGATACGAAAGATCCCCTCATATATAGATCGGTGTCACCACTCTCCTGACCCGACTGAAGCAAAGTGTCTCCTCGGCCAAGGTTCGTTTCAGGTTCCACCCCCACTGCTGTCAGGGTAACAAAGAAAGCACACGGACGCTAACCGACGACGTCAATGGCTATAGGATTTCTCTACTTTCCTCAAGAAACGGTCATCTCTGGAGGAAGAGCATGCGCAAGGCTTGCGCAAGCTCTCTCGTTCCCTTCACGACTCCGCTTATCGCAACGAGAACCGCCAAGGTACTTACAGTCAGAATTACAATGAACTCAATCGTTTCCACGACCGCATGGCGGACCACGGACTTCAGTTTTCCGTGTCTCTGCAGCAGATGGCCGATGATCTTAATGAACTCGCGTCCAATATTGAGCGGGGCCGTAAGCAATGGAAGCAGACCGGACTGAGTGCGGAGAAGAGGGTCCTGGAAGCGGAGACTTCTGCGGAGAAGGCAAAAGCAAAATACGAATCGCTTGCTGAACAATACGACCGGGTCAAGACTGGCGATAAGCAGGGTGGAAAGTTTGGCTTGAAGGGTCACAAGTCGGCTGCGCAGCATGAAGAAGAGCTGCTGCGCAAGGTTCAGAACGCTGACTCTGACTATGCTTCCAAGGTCCAGGCTGCACAGTCGGCGCGACAGGAGCTGGTGTCAACCCTTCGACCTCAGGCTGTACAAAATATCCAGAAACTGATCGCGGAATGCGATTCTGGTCTTACACTGCAGTTGCAGAAATTTGGTGCGCTCGAAGCCCACACTTTGTTGTAAGATACTATGCTAACGGTATCATAGCAACTTTCAACGAGAAGCTGCTACTTGGACAAGGCTTGGCCATCAGCCCGTTGAAGGATGGTTCGGCAAATCCGGCTCTTGCTCCAAAGAGCTTGTATGAAGTCGTGTCTCAAATCGACAATGAGAAGGACTTCAACGAATACGTTCTCAGCCATGAGCGGAACCCTGCTGCTGTGACTTCAGACCAGATCCAGTACAAACGTCATCCGGTGAGTCCTGCATGTACCGATGCCGGGATGTTCTTAGCTAAGTCCTGAATTCCAGACGCTTGGGGGATCTTCTGGGCCCGTTGTGCCTGCTTCGCAACCGAACACGCAGAATAAGCGCCAGTCAATGTTCTTGCCCCAATCATTCTCGCAATCAAACCTCCTTTCTTCTACTCCAGCATCGTCTCAACCCTCCGCACCAGCACCAGTGTCCGCTCCCGCTCCGGCCCCCGCTCCTGCGCCGGCACTTGCATCTCCCCCGGCCACTGAGTCATTGCCATACCCACAAAACCCCGATTCTTACTCGTCTCCGCCTTTCCAGCCTCCCTACCCAACGTCGAGTTCTGAGCAGCAGCATCTAAATCAAGCTCCTGCGCTACCGGCAAAGACGCCGCTAGGTCCAGCCGGGAATGGCTTCCAGCCTAGCCCTAATCTTCCTCCTTTGAAGCCGGTGTTTGGCGTATCTTTGGATGACCTATATACCCGTAATGGGACAGCCGTTCCCATGATTGTATACCAGTGCTTCCAGGCTATTGAGCTTTTTGGGTTGGACATGGAGGGTATTTATCGACTCTCTGGTAGCGCAACTCATATCAGCCACATGAAGGCGCTGTTCGATAATGGTGCGTTTTGATCACCCTACTTATTACTTTCATATTGAGCCCTAGCTAATGAGTGGGCAGATTCTTCGCAAGTCGATTTTACCAACCCAGAGAACTTTTATCATGATGTTAACAGTGTAGCTGGACTTTTGAAGCAATTCTTCAGAGACCTGCCGGACCCGCTGTTCACATCACATTTCTACACTGACTTCATTAACGCCGCCCGTAAGCAACTCAAATCAAGGTTGTTTGACCACGAACTAACCACTTTTATGCAGGCATCGACGATGACATCCAGCGCCGTGACTCACTTCACGCGTTGGTCAACAACCTTCCAGATGCTCATTACGCTACGCTGAGGGCCTTGATACTGGTATGTCCACTAATTCAGCCCTACCCTTTTCGAAGACCTCTCAACTAACACATCAAAGCACCTCAACAAAATTCAAGAGCATTACACACAAAATCGGATGAATGCAGGAAACATTGCCATTTGTTTCGGGTAAGTCATGACACTCTCGACCTCTCTATCTCTTGCCGACTAACAATTTCTAGACCCACCCTTATGGGTGCCAACTCCGGCGGTAACATCGCAGATGCCGGCTGGCAGGTCCGAGTCATCGAGACTATCCTTGTCAACACGTTCCAAATCTTCGACGACGACTAGATCCATCGTCTTTGACCAACGACACGCAAGTTACTGGATAAAGTCCAACCTTGCCGTTCTTCTTGCCAACCTTAATATTACGCGAATACCACGTTTCCCATTTTTGCTACGATCTAACCCGCTCCATTCTTGTTCTTCTATTTATTGTCCTTGTCAATCCCTGCTATTACTACAAGTGTACATAGTATTCCCCTTGGGATGGGTGGGCTGCTGTGATTACTGGTTTTCCCAAGACTTCGATACCAGGATACGAAACAGGACCTAATTAAGTTTTCTAAACTTACTAGAACCGGTACTGCAAGTCTTTAGAGGTAATTTGAAGTGTAGATAATTACAAGACTCAAATTGGTGAGATAATAGCCAATCAGATATAGTACAGAATCGCAACGAAATGATATGCTATGAGCCCCAATATTGCCCGTCTGTCGTCAAAGACGAGAAATGAATGATAAACACAAAGCATAGGAATCAATCGACTGCATGGTATCGGGTAGTTCTCAATAACACATGATAAGAATCGAATTGGATGCGAAGCAGTGATTCCGCAGCCAACGGCAGATGCAAGAGGATGGGGGAGGGGGGAGAGATGATGTGTAGTAGTAGTAGCAGATAATAAGCTAACAGATGAACACTTTTTTGTGCTTCGTCACTGCGTATCATACAATGCAATGCGGGCCTTGGAAACCACGGCCCCCTTGTTTGCTGGTCCAAGGAGCGGCCCCGAAGTGGAAGAGGCTTGGGTAGCACTCAGGTCTTGTTACAATTGTTGGGTTGAGTTCACGATAACGGAGATCGGATGTGACTTGAATGACTGGCTTATTTCTTTCCAGTCATCGTCTCCCTCATAGCCTCCATACGGTCCGCCAGGCTCATGCCGCGGGCGAAGAAGGGACTCTCCAGGTCCTCCACAGTCGTGGGGGTAGCGTGACCCCAGACGCGCCATTGGTCTTCCTCGCCGGCCCAGCGGAATTGCTGGATGACAAGGTATTCGGTGCAGTCCTGCTGCTTGGTATTGTTGGCCACGGCCGTGCTATCGGCCGGGGCACCGTTGGGAGACGCCTTCGTCGTGCCCTTCGACTGGCGGCTGGTGATGCGCAGGACGACCTGGCGAACTCCGGAGTTGGGGATTTCGGGAATCTGAGTCGCACGATCCGACATAACGCGAACACCGGTGAAGTAGGTGCCCGGAGAGCGAATGTAACTGTCCAGGTTCCAAGTGACACGCTCACCCTTGGGACGAGCAGCGATGCGGGTGCTCAGCTGGTTGGCAAGGCCGGTGCAACACACCTTGCGTAGGGTAGCAATATCGCCGCTGTCTCGCGAGAAGCGTTAACGACTTGTATGGGGAGGCAAAGGTAGTGGAACCAATGGACTGGACACTTACGCGGCAAATGCAGTGTACATCTTCTTGTGGTATTCGGAAGCAATCTGTCGGCGCTCTTTCAGCCTAAGTGCAAGTCCCTTGTTGAGCCATTTGCAGTAGGCGAGGACTCTGTCGTCTTGTTAGCAGCCCGAACGTCGGCAGCCATTGAACGGCGGTCCAAGAGAGATGGGAACCCACCCAATGAAGTTCTGAAAAGCCGACTTGATCCACAGCCATTCCATATGTAAACGCTCCGAGGGTTGCTGGAAGATGGAGGGCATATCTCTCCAAAGCGGCCGGATGAAGGTTCCCGGCAGAAGTCCGATGTCCTGGGGGAGATCCGTCCTAGGCATACCCCTACCCCGGGTCCGCATACTAGGTTGAGCGGGAGCTGGCATGGAGATGTTCTGAGGCATGCCGCGGAGGCCAGCACTGCGCTGAGAGGATTGAGAAAGGTATCGGCGTTGGCATGGTGTAGCAATGGCCGGTCCGGAGTAGAAGGCAGAGAAGGGAGCGTTGCTGGATCGAATGGCCGAGAAGGGGCCCTTGGACAGCGAGGACGCCATGACGAGAGTAGCGGCCAGAGGGAAAACCTCGACAGACGGAACAGAGCAAGACGCAGAGGCCGGGGAAGAGCTGGACGCAAGAGATGAAGCGCGTAAAACGAAGCCAAAGAAATTCCGCCGAGCGGCCCCGGGTCACGTGGCGGGTGGTTCTCCGCGAGACTCGCTTTTTGGCTGATTTGGCTTCCCTTTCTTTTGATGAAGTTTCCCTCCATGCACTTTCCCGCCTGTCGTGCGCCTCCCCAGCTTCATTCCTCGGCCTTCTCTCTCGAACGACAGGAAGAGCGTGTGCTCATTGATTCGGACTTGGCCTCCGTTGCGTTTCCATCATCACCGACCGCCGCGGACACAAGCACCGCCTACCTGATTGTTTCGTGGAGTTTCGCCGTACACCAACAGAGAGAATCTATACCGCTTAGGGGTCCGATCAGAGACAATTTAGCTCTGGACCTACCACCAACGACTCTCATTCTTCGGATCTGTCTGCCGCTTGTTCGGGTAATATCTGCGTGACGGCCGCATATGCCGGGATTTAAGGCTGGCTCCTCCTTATCGTGATGCTGCTTCTCCATCCTTCTCGTCTCATGCCCGGTCGTCTTCTCCTGAACCTGACTTGATTGCTTCGCTGTCGGATTCCATTCCCACGACCCCCAACTCACCATTTTATACTACTCTGGCTTCCATACTCTCAAAAGTGGATTCCAACGATAAAGCCGTGGCCCCCTCCTCCGCCCCTTCGACTGTCGTCCCGCCCTCCCCGGCCTCCTCCGCGTCCCCCACTCCTAGTATCAACGATGCTGGTCATTCGGCCCCTTCTGCCCTTCATCCCCGGGTGGCCGTCATTCTAGGAGTTGATCGGAAATGGTATTTGCCTTTACTGATCTGTCGCGCGCTGAGCACTGTGCCTGCCGCGTGGTGGGGGCTCCGATGTGCCTTCACCTTCCTGGCCGAACTGCTGCATATTCGACCAGGCGTGGGACATGAGGGGTGGGCGGCGGCGATTGTCGGGAGTGTTAGTCAAGACTGGGATGTTGAAAGACGATTCCGGGTAACAGAGGTGGCCTTGGCTATTATGTGGGTATGTGAATGCCCTATCTCCTTTTCTTTGCACATGCTCGTCAGCGAACAGGTCTAACTATGATTATAGTGCAGTGCATCCGCGTATCTTTCTTACTTTTTTGCTGATTGTATGATGTCTCGATGGTACGCTTTCCCTGATCCTCTAAATTGACGAGATTATCGCTAACATGCCCAGGCTTTTGAACTATACCCCACCAGCTGTTGTTATTCGTCTCCTTACTACAAACGGTTTGATTGCTTATATCACTTCTTGGGTCCTTTACCTCTCTGGAGCTTCGTCCGACCCCCGTCTTCTTTTACCAGCCTGGATATCCATTACCACTGTAAGCTTCCCGAATTCCCCTCAATGCATAATTACCCTCGATGATCGGAAAATCTGAAACTAACTTGCCCCCTTTCTTCCACATTAGACCCTTACCTTCCTTTACCATGCCACCCAGAACCATGCTACAATCAAGCGTGAAACTGCAGCTGCGCTTCTCGTTGTGGCCGTGGCCAGTTTCGTCAGCATGTCATCGCTTCTCCTCCAGTTGCATCTGACCCGTGAAAATGAGCCCGAAGTGCCCGTGTTTGTCATTACTCGCAAGCTTTGGGACTGGGCTGTGGCTATCTTCCTTCGTATGCGAGTGTCAGACGAGCGAGCTGCAGTCGGCGAATTGTAAGCTAGGACGGACTCGACTTGATGTTCACGGCTCTGTTTCCATAGACTAGCTAGTAGCTATCATTCCAACTGTGTAACCTTTTGCCCCAAAGAAGACACGCACTACGTAAATTATATCAGGTTTTCTTCGTAGAATGCTTAAAATCCACGATAACTACGGATATTAGAGTAAGAGGAAAGATTGAACCGAAAAGTATTTCACCATAACCATTCCGCCAGGAATGAAAGTTCATTCTTGAGCATGGACACGGTAATGACAGTGAAGGCGGTAATGCAACACACCAACGATTAGAACATTTAGATATAACGAGTGATCGAGACCAAGTCTCCCCATCCTTTATTCAACCCTTGCAATGAAGCAGGCCGAAACTGTCCTTTCACGTACTGGTGGCCACACGAAGCCAAGCAAAGACACGACACAGAAGAAGTAGAAAACAGAAGAAGTAAATCATCTATGAAGATATTGGGTATCTACCAACGCCTCGTTCCGTCATTATCCCATTCCAGATGTAGCAGTCGAGTCAGGGAAGCCAGACCCACTGGGCCTCTTTCCATCGCCTAGTCGCGAATGGAAAGATGACCAACTTGATAGTGCATCAATTCGACAAAAGGCCCAAGTCCAGTATTCCGGGTAAAAAGCGGTAATAGCAGCAGACAATATATCAGACCGAACAACCCTCGTGGCAGTGGCGGGAACCGCAATGCCACATCAGGAGGGCAGGTGGGCACATACTGTCCCCTACCGCACCGCTCTGAGGGGAACGTAGACTGGGAAGAAGGGACCGGAACGGGGGCGTGGCGTCTGGCTTAGAAACCGTGGACCTTGATGGTCTTGGCGTCCAGCTCGAGACCCTCCTTCTTGTCGGTCAAGAACTCCTGAACATCTTTACGCTGGTCTCCCTGCAGCTGAATCACCTCGCCCATCTCAGTGTCGTTGACAATGGTGCCATTGCAGGCTGACAAGGCAAGTTAGTGATATGGCGAGGCACGTAGGTAGTAGGCGACAACATACCGAACTTCTTCTTGATGACCTTCAAGATCTTCTTCTGATCGAACTTCTTAGGAAGACCCTGGACGGTGGTCAAGGTCTTACGACCATTGCGCTCTGTGGACAGATACATGTTAGTCATAGGTGCATGACAAGACAGCGTGGCGCCACCAGCGACGATGACAGGGGCCAAGGCACCACGTGGAGAAGACGACAATAGAACGTACGTTGAATCCGTATATGGATGTAATTTTGAGACTGTTTAGTCTCGCCGGTGTCTTCGTCAGCTTCGGCGAAGGGGTCTGTGGAAGAGCACGTGTCAGCCTCAGGCTCTCATGACCAAGTATTACCCCGCCAACTTGTGACGCAGTTGGATCAAAAGGGACAACCCTGGCTACACAGCCAAGCCTTAGCAAGAAGAGCCAACTTCGCAATGATCTTTTCAAAAACCATCGCTAGGGAGACCAACATCTGCTGCAGGCAGTACTGCGGGCCTGGTGACGATGTCCACAGAAGGGGGGGAGGGGAGGTGGCGAAGCGACTCACCGAAGGTCTTGAGGTTTTCGATGGACATAAACTCGGCCTTTCGTCGTAAACGGCCCTTAAAAGCGGTGTATAGGAAGTGAGCGAGGGGAGAGAATTAAATCTCTGTGGAAATCGGAGTGATCGTAGAGTCTTGGGAGACTTGGAGCTGGAGGTTCAAAAGTGGATGAGGTGGTGATCGGGAAGGAAGCAGGAAGAAGAACAGAAGAGCCTTTTGAGGGGCGCGGCGTTGCCTTAGCGCCCTTGTGGGGGAAGGCGGTGTATCTGTGACTAAGCCCTCTTTCCCCCCCTTCCAGCGCGCTGATCTGGTACGTTCCATCCATGACTGGACCGTCTTTTAGGCTCAAGGTTCGTTCTGATTGCTACCCTTTGCCTCTGGCGGGCTGAGGAGGCGCCGGGCTTCTAGACAAATGCTATAATTGGGTTTCCAAACCGGGGTGCTGATTGGATATCGGTGGCAAGCCAAGGGCTCTCCCCTCTCCGTTTTTCCCGGGCTCCTCTCATACATACGTCGTTTCTACGCATTTGGGTGCTGCACATCGCTTTTGACTGTATGATTTACATTAGAAAATCCGTCATGTCGAGTTCATCCTCACACATATTTCACATGGGAGTGTTGAACAGTGTTTTGGATGACATCCAAAGCTCGCCACAACAACCCGGGCAATCAAGCTAAATGATAGATAAAAATGATATTATGACAATTGAAGTATTATATTGTTCATACAGCATCACAGTCTCGCCCTGTACAAAAAAGTAGAAGACAGATGACCAAAGGGCTTTGAACTAACTGATCGTGTCTCTCCTCATTTGACCACCGTCAAACCCAACTTCCCAACCCTATTCTCTTTTTTATGCGAACTGAAAGACTTGGTGGTATTATATTGTATCGAAACTCGTCGGCAATGGTATCACAGAATCGGTTGTCGCTTAAGGGGAAGGAGTAGTGGATGCAGTAGCGCCCGGGGCAGCGCGCGCATTCTGGGGAGGCAGGAAGATGGGGAAGTAGGTCTATAGAATGCAAATTAGAGAGGATGGTATCGTTCGTCAGGATTGTCCGGGAACATACAACCACCAAAGCCATCACTATGAGCACAACCAGCAGTTAGTTCATGAATCCCTTGTAACAGGAGCAGAATGTATACACGTACAGGACATCAAGACGGACATGTAGGCCGGAGTCGAAGCTGTTCTCTTCTGGTCTGGAGTCTCACCAAGCCAGGACTGAAGCGAGAAAACGAAGGAGACCCTGGATTGACCAACATTAGCCAGCTGCTCGAACGTTGAGACATTGGCGACTTACCATCCGATCATTCTGCGCGCGCGAGCTTGGTTAAAATATATCCACACAGCCGATTGAAGTGTTAGATCTTGCGCTCACCTATTCCTGGTGAACATCTGCCGCAAGTGTTAGCGCGTCTGAAGCATGAATAGGCACAAGATCTTCAGATTGGGGCTCGCGACTTACCGCAGCCATAGGCATGGTGCTGGACATGGCGCCTGAACCGGGCAATCAGCAGATTATCCTTGCTATCCCATCCACAATGAGATTGTATCATCCAATCATCACATACTAGACATGTCGGGCTCATCTTTGTTCTTGGGAGGGTCGATGTAGGGGATGGCTAGTTATCGGCGGCGACGTCAGTAATGATACGCTCAAATTCCAGAACAAGATATTTCCGACAGTAGAAGCAGAAAACTTACCGAGGTCCAACCTCCGCATGTCCTTCTTGGATGCCATCTTGTCGCTTGATACTCCGAGGCTACTGCACAGGCCGTGAAAGAGGTACCTTCGTTCAGGTTGAGAGGCAGGCGAACAGGCCAACCAGGCGATGCGTGACGCCAAGACCAAAGCGGAAAGGCTGCCCGGATCCGAGGTTTATCTCCCCCGGATGATAAGTTGTCCATTATATTATCCCATTATGAGTGCACAAAGGCATTGGCGAACGAAAGACGATCGCAATCATAGCTAGCTTCTAGCTATCTATGAACCGATGCTACGTATTATGTTGACTACTGGACTAGCGGATGATTGTCGAGTAAACCACACTCAAAAAGCGTGACTGTTTAGCTCCGACGCCGGGCACCTTAGATTAGCGTAGTTAGTCCCTTCGGAGGACAGGCTGTGTGTGTCAACAAGAGATGAGGGACCAGACAGAGATCCCTTCGGAGATCACCCATCTTCGGGTTGAGCCGTATCAGACACTCAGGTCAGCCTGCTCTGTACTTCTGATCAACTAAGTTTAAGCGATAGGGGCGATCAGCAGTGATACGGTCGGCGATTGGAATCAAGATCAGCTCAGGTGTCGCAAACACCACCGGGCGGGCGACGCAAGATACACACGCATGCACTGTGCTTTCTGGAAAATACACCAATTGATAAGGAGGGACGGACTCCCGACCTCTCTATCCCAAGAACAAGGCGTATAATTGATTATCTCCATTTGATTGTTCCATTTGCATAAGGGGCGTTGGGCTGGGCTTCCGACGGAGGACCCATTCCGTGGCTTTTCAGAACCGAGCAGCCCCTTTCGCAAACCCCGATTTTGATCCGGACCATGCTTGTGTACCTATCCGCTCCATCTCACCGTGGCCATTTGCGAGCTGGAACAGCCAGGGTTGCACTGCATCCTGCGGCTAGAATGGTGTTACTGAAAGGCTGCTCCGTGGCCAGTATCTGGTACCAGCCGTAGTGCGCCAGTCTGTGCGCTCGGAGTTTCCGGGATGATCCAGTGCGTTCAGCACATGGATCCTTGTTCCCCGTATTTAAAACAGGAGATCTTTGCTGAGTAGATGCCCAGCAGCACAGGGCAGACGGAGGTGCTCTAGCGCGTAAAAGGGCTGGGGGAAATGTGGCGACCTGAAAGCAATCAAAACACCATATTTATCTATCTACAGGCTGATAGGTCATCGAAGATCTACAGCGATGTGCCATTTAAGATGCGGAGAAGCGTGAAATCAGACGGCATAGTCATACGGTACTCACAGTCTCCCACGCAGTGTCATGCCACTGTGGAGAGGGTGCATCCCGCAGCCGGACGTTTGAGGATGGCAGATGGCAGATGGCAGCGATGGGGATGATGAAGAAGAATAATATCATGACACATGTCTAACATCCTTCGGCAATGGATCTTCCCGACGGGGCTTGGGGCGCTTAGGCAGGAGAAGACTGGAGGAATCCGAGAGAATGGGATCCCCTTGATCCAACGGCCCACAGGGTGATGGAGAGTGGGTTCAAGGCGAAAAAAGAGAAAAATGTCTTGGAGAAGGAAGACGCGGAAAGTGTGCTTTAGGCAAAGTTCTAATAGTCTCCATCTAGGATCGGTTTCAGTCGGGATACTGAATCGGATAGTCGAAAAGTGTTCACCGTATGTTTGAATGTGACAGCCAGGGAAAATTCATATCCCTCCCCCTCCTTCTCCAAGGAGATCGCACACGTATCACCTTGTGTGTGCTACAGGTAAAGTCAATGGAACATGACAAGATTCTATTACCCTTGCAAACGTCGTACAGATTGCGCATCGTAGATTAATCCCCGGGAGGGTCACTACTGTAAGGCGACGCAAACAAGTTGGGATTCAATCCCAAAGTACTGTCTGTCAAGCAGGGATCGCCCTTAAAACGGGCCGATCTGCGGAGTTTAAGATGGCTGTGGTTGGGTTAGGCACGGAGA